TAGGACCAGGCATATATAGATATCCAATAAATATCTGTTGAATTGTGGATGAAAAGCAATATGATGTAACGATTAAGCACATATTATTGGGAGTCAGATGAACCTGAGTTCAAATCCAGGCTCTACCTCTTATAACCAGTGTGATCTTGGACTTAACCCATGCCTTTGACTTGTTTCATGCCTTTGTCTGTGAAATGTTGTTATATACATAATTCCTAGGGTTCTTACATAATATATATGTCTTGAATATTTTTGTATGTTACATTATCTTTTATAATAAGTAACTATTATTAACAGTACCATTGTTTCTCATAATGAAAATTTTGAAAAATATTACAGATATTACATGTGTATTATTTTATGGCTCCAGTTTATTTTACTATTAATTTGTTGTTGTTGTTTGTTGCTAAGGGATTGACAGTAATGTTGGAGTGATTTTCTGATAGCCAGCACAGAATGACCCAGACTCTGTGATAAGTATCACTGAGGCCCAACAACTTCACAAATGTGTGTATTCTCGCTTTGGACTGAGCTGGGATTAGGAGAGGTTAAACAGTTAACAGCATTGGCTTTAGTTCAACAGCCTTAAAGAAACAAAACCTTGCTACCACCAAAGCCCAGCACATCCAGAGCCTCTTGGAGCATCTCTTATTGGGTTCAAGGATTCAAGGAGATGGACCATAATTTCAGTGAAGCAGTGGTTCTCAGGCTTTAGCATCCATCACAATAATTCGGAGGACTGTTTACACAGATTGCTGTGCTTTACCCCCAGAGTTTTGGATTCAGTAGGCCTGGAGCAGAACCCCAATGTTTCATTTCTAATGAGTTCCCCCATAATACCAATAGATAATGGTGTTTTGGGGACCACACTTTGAGAACCACTGAGGTGACAGATATAGTTGAAGCCTGAGTAATCTGACTCCAGAGCGAAACATGGGCAGAAACCTTTTCACTAACGTGAACTGCCTGATAACCCCTGTAAAAATGAAGCCTTCCTATTTTCAGCCCCCATGTTTTCTACTCTGCACTGCCCTTTTCTTACTTTTTAAATTTATTGGTTGGGGAAATGGTTTCATGAAGTTGTTTTTAAATTTTATGAGCCTGATAAAATCTATAGACACTCTCTCCAGAAAAGCCATTTACACATTGCTTATAATTTCAGGAGGCTCTTGGCACCGTCTCCACCAGCCCACCCGCTGACCCTCTGAAGTATCAGTAAAAAAAAGTATGCCCTAAGGCAGTCTCAAGTTTACTCAAATTCCCTTCTCACGCTTTAACCCCGTTTGGTTAAGTATATTTATCTGTAAAATAGGAATAATAGTAATAATTCTTATCTCAAAGATTATGAAAATTAACTGGTTAATACGTGGAACAGCCTAGTTTGAAAACCAAAACCACCAATGTTACCGTTTCTCTCTCTTTGTAGTCCTGCTAAAACAATCCTCCTTCTTGAGGCAAATGGGTGCCTCCCTCCCGCTACAAGCGGGAAACCAGGAAGTGTAAGAAAGAAGAGCCCAGAGAGTAATATTACAGGATCTACTCTGTGCCTGTTGCATTCTTTTGCTAAACTCTAGTCAGTCTGCCATATTATGGCTCCTTCTGTGAGTCACTGAGCAACACAGGCCTGGCTCTGTGACCTGAGACTCTCAATAATTCATTTATCCTCAAATACTCCACTTTGTCCAATCTCTTCTCATTCCCCCATATTAATGCCTCCAGACAGAAAGACAGAAATGTAAAAATTCTAATAGGGGCTCATTTTCATACTAAAAGACACTGAGTCTTGAGAAATGGTGATTAAAGATTAAGTTTAATTCTCATTGTTTCTGTAAAAATAAATAACTATGGTGATAGGCTAATCAGCAGATATTTATTTAGTTCCTACTGTATACACTGTGCAAGAGATGACATAAAGAGGAATAACACATGCTTCTATGCTGTGCTGACTCACAGTCTGACAGGGAAGTTAGGTACAGCAAAAATAAACCAAACACAAATTGAACCATAGCAAGGACAATGATTATTCTCACACAGCGTTTCAGGAGTACGGAGAAGGAGAAATCAATGTTGACAGGGATCCATCAAAGTCTCTTGGGCAAGTGAGAGTTAAGCTGGACCCTGCTGTCGGTGAATATGAGGGAGAAGGCCATTCTAGGCTGTGGGGACAGTCTGAAGAAAAGCATGGAATTAGAAAAAAAGCTTGGTATAAACTTGTGATATTACGACTTGGCCATTGTGACCATAGTATGGGTTTGGGGGTGAAGGTTTAGAAAGTAAGGCTACAAAGATAAGATGGAAGCATATTGTAGGAAAGAAACTAAAGGCCAACTGGGGAGCTTTGCTTTCCTCTCCATGCAGAGGGGAAGAACTGAGGTCTCTGAGTATAAAGATACCCAAAGCAGCTCTGTTTTTATAAACATAGACTCCTGGTGGCCCTGAGAGGAACAGACAACAGAGAGCAAGGATAAAGCAAGACCTGATAAAGGTGATGGGGATCTGAACTAAAGCCACAGAAGTGGGAGTAGCATGAAGGGGACGAAGAAGAGAGGCATTTGAGAGGCTGCATTCACTTCAGATGGTAGACGACATGTAGCAAAGGAAGCTGAGGCAAAATGAGCGGCCTCCAAGGCCAAGTTGCTACATAAAGCAGACCATGGTCTCAGAGGCATGGCCTCTACCTCTTGGCCATCCCAAGAAGACTTCTCCCTCCTAGAATGCCCATAGGAGAGCAACTGACCATCTGCTTCGCCTGCATGCAATATCAAAATCAGTGACTCCAGACATGGATGCTCAGCATAAAAGCTCCAGAAGTCTTTTAAACAACTTTTGGGCACTTTTCCAGGTGAATCTGATCTGGGAACTCAATGTAGGTTAGAGGCTGGGCCCAGGTGTCCATATTTTTGAAAAGCCCCAGGTGATTCCGATGCAGAGCTGGATTTGGGAAGTACCGTGGGAAATGTATATTGTAGAAAACACAGAGTCAGGACATAGTGCCCGTGGGTACTAGGATGGCTTGGAGACTTTAGGTTTCGGTCTCCAACAAAGTCTCAAGCACCAGGACCTTCACCTTCATTTCTCATCCTCAGCAAACGCATCGGGAGATAGGAGAGGCTGGATGTGTGACAAGTTCCCTGGACTTCCCAGGACAATGGGCACTCACACCATCCTTGCTCACTCCTGTCCTCAACTGAAATAGAAAGAGAGCTTGGCTGCACCAGAGACACCATGAGAGAGTCTTATTACAGGATGTTTTCAGTCTTTAGACTACCCATTTTCTGCCAGGCTGTACAACACCCATAGGACTTTTCTTGCTATTATTGTTTTTATTCCTCAGAAAAGTCATACAGTTCAAAGGTAAGGCAGGTTTTAAAAACATTCCTTCTACACCCCAGGCTCTGTGGGATTGGGCAGAGTCACACAGCTGAGCGGGTCCTGAACCCACTGCCCTCCGGAGCTCCAGTTCCGCTCCTGTGCCATAACGGAGAAGGGCAACATAAAGGCATTTTTCTCTCCTTGTAAAGAGCAAAAGTGAGGGGAAGGGGATTATTTAAACACACCTCACTCACACTGCACTCACTGCATTGTTTTTCCTGTTGAAACACCCTGTTGATTTTTAAATCCCTTTAAACCTACCGGCACCTGTATGGCCTGGATCCAAGAATTATTACCGAACCTCTCACTTTTTATATCTGGCCACATAGGAGTTTCTGTGATGGCATCTGGCTCTTGGTTCAGCCGAAAATTTCAAAGCTTCAAAAGTTTTCTTCTTGCATAGAACTAGAGGCATGCAGTGCTCAGACCTGATTTTTTTTTTTTTTTTTAATTAAGCAGCGATGTTTCCCCCTTTTAGTTCTCCTGCTGGATAAAATAGTATCGTGGCATAACCTGAACTGTTCCTCTGTACAGACACCTCTGAAATACGTCTTGACCAAAAGGGAGAGTAGGGGACAGATGGGGGGGTCTCTGCCAGCAGCTTATGGTATGTGAAGTGACCTGTCTCCAGGGCAAGAACTGAGTCTGAAAACATAATGAGGACTTCCCAGAAAATTCATTATAACAAAGCATAATGTGAGCTCACTGGGCACGAAAATAAGCTGAGGGAAAAGGGACTCCCACAGAAGACCTAATTAAATACTTTGATGTCAGAAAGCAGAGCAGGGAGGGGTGGAAAATCAAATCAGACCGAAGTAACTGGTAAAGACTTAAATTTAAATGGAAAGAAGAAATGTTTCTTTCCCCTCCCTCCCCCCTTCTCTCTCACTCACACCCCCATCCCCTCCAGCCTCTCTCTGTGTCTCTGTCTCTCTCCTTTTCTTCCTTTGTTAGGAAGGAAGAATAAGGTTCGGGAACAATAGGTTGTAAATTCTTTAGCCAATTAGCCCAGTGACTTACTACTGTTTATAACGCACAGAATCTCACAGGCTGCTTTGCGGCCTCCCCAAGTTGGTTTGTTAATAACAGGAAGCTAGCACTTCTCAGTACAGTGGATCAGCCACACGTGAAAATAAATGCAAAAAACCTGGAGGGGAATGGGAGCAGACCGAGAGTAGCCTTGATTTAATTTAACGTTTGGGGGTCCGCGCACAAATGAGCATTTTAGTAGGCTTCATGGTGGAAGTTGCTGTCATTTGTAAAATATTCTGGCCAATTAGCTAATAGTGTGCTTGGATTTCTCCTGTTTTGATACAGTAATACTAAGTACATTGTGAAGCCCAATTATACAAATCATCCCCATATGCCATACCAGTCTCTCTTTATGAACTGTGTTTATAAATCCTGTGTGAGGAAATGTGTACTTCAGCAATTTAGACCATGTGTAAAAACACGGCCAATGGGATCGTCAAGAAAACAAGTTCCAGCCTAGGAAGTCCTAATGTGTTCCGCTGGAATAGCAGGAGGGTGCCGGGGCGCGGGGCTCTGCTTAAATCTGTACTGCCTCGGTGTTTAGCCGACTTAGGGGCTTCCGCTTGCCTTCCTGTGATTGTGTTCTTTTCTTCTAGGACCCAACCTTGGAGTTTTTGAGAAAATTCGGGATCGGTCTCCTCTCGGGCACAATAGCCTCAGTCATTAACATCCCTTTCGATGTTGCCAAAAGTAGGATTCAAGGGCCTCAGCCGGTTCCTGGAGAGATCAAGTACAGAACCTGTTTTAGAACAATGGCCACAGTCTCTCAGGAAGAAGGGTAACACACTCTTAACTTAATAAATGAGCAGCCCTCAAGGATTGTCCAGACCATATTATACTCACTGCCATTACCATGAGAGCCATTAAGCCCTGCTAAGTTGGGGGTGTGTCTGAGAAGCTCTGGGGAGTAGATGATAAACTTTGCCAGATAATGTAGAAATGAGATGTTGGCAGAACATTCTTATACCATCAAGAACCGTGAGCCACCACTATGCAACATGCTGCATTTTTGCCTTAGAATGCTAAGGTGACTTTTGCTTGCCAGTTTGCATAAAATGTCACTGCATATGGTGTGCCCTATGAACACATGGGCCAGGGAGTCATTGTCTTCGGTCCGTAAATCTAATCAAAATGTCACCTAAACATATTCTCCTGGGACAATTAAACATGAGAATTCTGTGAAAGTATCTTTCTTTTAAAAATTTAAAATATGTGCCTTATTCTGCTGCTCAAAATAATTTTTAAGTCTTACTTTTGTCTCTTTATCCCGCCTCACCCAAAAATCTTATTCTAAGTAAACAAGTGATTTTTATTATTTTGATCTAATCTGCATCATATTTCCTATGTGAAGATTAAGGTTTTGGCCTTTTGAATTCAATTATAGAAGTCACTTTGTCCATATATATAGCTGCCTTGAAAGCAAAAACCATCATGTGATGAAAATCATATTTCTGATTGGACAAGATCAGCATAGCTTGGATAATGAAGAGTTAATGGAGTCTTTCCCCTTGTCCAATTTGTTGCAGAGACTATTTAGCAAGACAATTTCAAATAGATATTTTATAAACACTGAGTTAGCATGTCAGTAGAGCTGAGGTACAACTCCATTTTATTTTCAGAAAAAGAATGTTGCTTTTTTTTCTTTTCACTTATAGGATTTTAGCTTTGTACAAAGGTCTGCTTCCCAAGATTATGAGGCTTGGACCAGGTAAATATGTTTTTATTACTTACATCCTTCCTTCTTTATTAATTTCTAGGTGTATTTGTGTGTGTGTGTGTGTGTGTGTGTGTGTGTGTGTGTAACAGCAACACAATAAAAGTTTATTCCACTGTGAAAGGCAGAAATCTTGAGGATATAGAGTTGTCTATGAGTGTTCACAATACTCACTGTGTCCATTAGAAATGCTCTACCTTTGTATAGACGGTACTACTTCTGGCCTTGCTGGAGGCTGAGGGAAGCCAAAGCCAATAGGAAAGGATCCACCGCCCGCGGGAGTTTGAGTGAACACCCGAGTACACACATACGCTGGCTTCTGACTGAAGGGGAGGATTTTCAGCGGGTGAGGGCCCAGCCCCCAGCCCGATAAAGTTTTCCTGGTGCTCCTTCTTCTTGCTCCTGCCTCTGTTTCATTTCAGAAAGAGAAAAAGAGGCAGCCTTGCCTCCATGAGCAGCAAGAGCCACTTGTCCTCACAGTCGCCTCTGGCGCACCTTCCTGGTCTCTGGCTGGTGGTGGAGGCTGCTGGCTCAGGGCCTCACCTCAGGACACCAGCCCACACACTCCGGCTGCCATTCCCTCAGGGAGAGTCAGCTGCCTCTATGTCAATAGATAAGAAAATAACTGCTACAGACTCAACCGCCTGGGCAAATAGTCTTGGATTATAAGCAGCCTTGTGAATAAGTACGGAAGTATACACTCTTTTTTTTTAACCAGGCCACACTCACCTACTTAGACATCCTGGTAATGTTTCCTAGAACCCGCCCCTCCTCCTCCCCTCTCTCCTTGTCCTAGTCCTCTGCTAACCGCAATGTCTCCTCCTCTCCTACTGCACGCACACATGTGCACATTTACCCTTAACTCTCAGCCCCATGAACCAGCATTTCTACCAACATGGGATATAGGAAAAAAGTAAATTGAAGCTGGTAAATAGTTCACACTTTTTTTGTTTAGAAAAAAAACTCCTCAATTCCAAATCCATCTACCTGTCCCAAGTTTTCTAGGCATGTAAGCGTGGATTTTGCTTCACATTTGAGACTCGGACCTGCCTTCTGTTAGTCTTTGGCCCGATTGTAAAAGAAAGGACCCAATGATGAGAATATTTGTGATTTAATGCAATTCTCTCTGTATGTGGTGTTTTTCCTTCACCACACAGTAAAAACCTGCTAGTAGACCTAGCATTAGAGGAAATCAGAGACTGGCCCTAACCCAGCTTCCTCAGGATGGGGTGGGCCTGGAAAGGGTGATGACCCTGGAGAGTTTAACTAAAACGGTAATTGACTGGAAACTTAATCCAACACTCTTTAAATAATCTGACCCCAAGTTTTGTTAGAGGCATGCAAATGTTTGGTTGGCTTTTTAAAATGTTTTTGCATGAGGTATCCTGAGTTCTGGTGGTGTTAAATCCAGTGAAAAGGGTTGTTGTGGATATACTATCCAAGCTAAACAACGCTGAGTAACTGGAAATCTCATTCTAAGGCCTGGCCTTACTCTCATTCCAAACATGCAAGTCCTACCAACTTCAAAGAAAAGACAGGTAAAGAGAAAGGTAAGGCTGAAACCGGTTTGGCTCAGTGGATAGAGCGTTGGTCTGCGGACTGAAAGGTCCCAGGTTTGATTCTGGTCAAGGACATGTACCTTGGTTGTGGCCACTTCCCTGGTGAGGGTTGTGCAGGAGGCAGCTGGTCGATGTTTCTCTCTCATCTATATTTCTAGCTCTCTATCTCTCTCCCTTCCTCTCTGTAAAAAATCAATAAAATATATATGAGAGAGAGAGAGAGAGAGAGAGAGAGAGAGAGAGAGAGAGAGAGAGAGAGAGGTAAGATTTTTTTTCTTTTTTCTTTTTTTTCTTTTTTTTTTGAGAGAGAGAGAGAGAGAGAGAGAGGGAGAGAGCTCTCGCGCAAGAGCCTGGAATTTTCATTCTTCATTTCAGAGAAGCATTTCACCTTGTTTTGATAACAGCCTTAGCAACTCCATGTGGCTACTGATAGGTATCTCCCATGAAGGGAGAATCTTGAAGTCTGTGGTTTAAACTTCAGATTTCACTAGCCTGTAAACTAGCCCCATTCTGTGTGTTCTTGACTTACACTGTGAATAGTTAATAAAGAGTAAACACTGCAGTGACATACATGTCCACAGCCCTCTGCAGTGCGTTCCTCCTGGCTTGCCAGAGTGCCACGAGGGCTACAGCAGTGAGACGGGTCTCATAGAGTATCTCCATGGGTTAAAAATGAAAATTACAGGCAGATAATTATCTTTGGTATAAGGTTACACAAACATGTGCAGCCTGTAGGTTTTTTTAAAAAGCATATGGCAGTGTGTACAAAAGAACTAAAATCAAGTTCTCTTTCTTTCTGTTAGAAGTCAGTCTTCTGTTCATTCAGCCAAGTCTTCTCTGAGTTGTGCTGAGGATATTTGTCCACATTTTTATTTTGTAATAGTTTTCATACAGACATGAAAGGAGAAATAGGGATTGTTTTAAAGGACACAGAACATGTGTAATTTACTGCATTACATAGAACACAAAGTCGCCCAGATACAAATGCTCTCCTGATCTCTAGGTGTTCAACAGGGTTGTACCTGTTTTCCTGTATCATGTTCCTGTTGACATGTTACATAGCAAGCCTCTCTGCGGCCAGTTATATAACTCTTCTCTACCTAGACAAATGGTGCTCTTATGACACCAATCCTAGTACCAAATTTGCAAATACAATCCATATATGTCCAAGGCAGATAAAAGAAATGAAAACAAAAAGAGGTTGAAAGCTAGCTTGGTTTTGCAACTCATATTTCTTTAATAGTCAGAAGCTATTTTTCACATTGCAATCCAAGTTGAAAGCGGTACGAGGAAAGCAGCCTCATTCGTCAAGCACCATCTTAGAGATTTTCTTCTTGAGTGCAACTACAACAATGCTAATTACGGGCTGGAAAAGATAAATCCTTTGCCTACATATGAAGAACCTGAAGGCTTCTGTTCCCAGGAAAGCCACATGCCCTTACATGACTAGATGTCTATATTTATTTACTTTTAAAAATAAAAAATGCCTGAAAGGAATCTGATGAGAAATGATGAAAGTTACAGAAACTCGTGGGGGGGGGGGGGGGGAATGTATTTGGAGACTCAAGATGGTCTTGATTTTGCTCTGAGAATTTTCCACAGTAGTTTTGTATCTATAGATTGGAGCTCAAGAACTGGTGATTCTGAACAGCCCCCGCCCGATGGGTTGCATGGGACTCCTTGGGGGGAGAGACAGCACCGTTTTACAGGACTGTGATAAAAGCCAGCCTTTTCTCTCCTAGGTGGAGCGGTGATGCTGCTGGTTTATGAATATTCCTATGCATGGCTTCAGGAGAACTGGTGATGGCCTATGAAGTCTTTCTACCCCTGGAGATAATGCGTGTTTGCTCACCAGCACCTTGAGATGATCAATCAGCTAATCTGATACAGTTATAAATTACCACTTATGTACAATTATAAAGGGAAAAACAACCTCAGATCAGAATCTATTTTGATATTTCAAAACTTATGTCTACATAACTTGAGACTGTAGTTTTGGCTATATTCATAAAATTGTAAGAAAAAAATAATATAAAGCAATTAGGTATGTAAACTGAATATGGAAAAAAATAGTGTAGAAGTCATAAATATTTCATAAAAACAATATAAGTTTTGTGACCTATGTTTTATTTACCTTGGTTCACAATGAAAATCTATTGTATTGATCATTATTTTTCCCCAAGAGGCTAAGAAGTGCTTGAAATAAAATACAAAATTGAGCCAAAATTTAAAGTTCTTTAAGAATTAAACTCTTCCATAAATAATATTTAAAAGTCACAAATAAAGTATTTTAAAGGTGCACTAAAATGCCTTTTTAGTATGTTCACTTTTATGTTAAAACTAGTAGCCCTGCGCAGGAATTTGTGCATCAGGAGGTCTCTGCCACCCTCCTGTAGCTGTTCCGCCCCCATAGCTTGCTGTCCTGCCCCCTCCTGTAGCTCTCCACGGCCCACTTGTAGTTCGCTGCCCCACCCTCCTGCAGATCCGTGATTCATTATGTGATCAGTCATTACACCTCACAGCATAACAGATAATTAGCATATTCTCTTATTATATAGGGTGTAAATCTGTTCAGTTTTTTAGTAATCACATCTCAGCTATATTTTCCTAAGTCTACTTTATATTTTGAACTATTGCTTAAATCAGGTCATACTTTAAACTTCTGATATTTTAAGTCTTTTATGACAAATAGAAAACATGAAATTATATTAAACTACTTTTCTTCACGTAGTTCCCTTTGAAAACAAGTTTTGTTGCTGAAATATGTTCATGTTAAATCACAAATTGAAACCACTTCTTGGGCCTATTGTGCTGTATGTATTTGCACCCAAATGCCTTATTCAAAACTCTTACCCATGCCATTCTTAAAAGAACATTCAAAGCAAAGTACATTGCCAGGTTATTAGTTATTGGTGACAGCTACAGGTGTGGAGTATGATATTTGCAGTGTTAAAATATGTATTATTCAGGGAAAATGTTTCAAAATAGTAATGCATTCTTAGCATTTCAAAGGTTCCTGTACTAACATGCACTCCAAAAAATATATATATCTTCTTGGCCTTGATATAACCAAAGGATTTTATGTCTGCTTCCTTAAATGATGCTACTCCAGTAGCCAAAAGTCACCAAAAATATCTGCACGTTGTAGGTGACATCTGTTCTTAACTATTTCTATGGGATATTTGTACCATGAGGCTATGTTATTAAAGCATTTTGAAAATAAAAAAATAAAAGATAACATGATAATTATTACTTTTTATTAATTTAGAGCATTTGAAGTATAAAAATAAAGGCTTTTTGACATACTGTATATACATACACAGCCTTCAGTTGTACATCCTTTCCAGCGTGTTTTTTAATTTATAGTTCAGCCCAATATTCAAAAAAAAAGGGGGGGGGTCATTAAAAGCAGTGGGGGAAAAAACACAAGAGAAATAAGAATGTGTCTGTTATACATCTGCCTTCTATCCTTGCAGGTAATACTCTTGCATCCTGTGAGAGAGAGTACTGCCTGCACAGAGTCCATGAAATTGAACCTTTAACCTCTCCATGTGGACAGGATGGAGAAGGACCTCTGAAGAGTGCATTTGCCAGTTTAAAAAAATTTTCATCCACTAAGAAACAGAGGAAATATGTCAACATTAACCAATAATAATAATGGTTTAAAAAAAAAAAAATCCCAAATCCCTATCTCGTTCCATTTCCTTCTCTTGTTTTTAAAAGTAGCTTTAAATCATAATTGCTTTAAATAGCAAATTGTATTTGGGGCTTCTGTTGTCCCTTTAAATTTATTTCATGTGAATTCACTGTTGCTAAGAAAAGACCTAAAGGGGGAGGGAGGGAGAAAAAAAGGAAACTTTGATATCATTAATATTAGATTTTTTTAAAAATACAAGAACCAGAAAAATTATAAATAGCATAATAACAAGAGATTTCTTAATTTAGATAAAGAAAACAATACTTAGTTTTGTTTCCATACAAACAATTGATAGTTTTTTAAAGACTCCTGATAGCCACCTAAAAACATCTGATAAGGAATAATTCTGTACCTTAGGTCAGTTCTTCTAGACGGCAGCAGAGTCCCTGTATGGGATGGTTTTAAAGTCTCCACCAAGATATTGGATTGGCATCTTTGTTCCATTCGGTTTATAGTCTCTTTTCTCACCAGACTAGGAACTCCAGATGTCAATAGGAGTTTCACAAGATCAAAGGAAGACTATGGCCCTGAGAGTTCATTTGTTCCTTCTGCTTACTCTTCTCCTGAAGTTATAATCCTCTATTTGTAGCACTGAATCTCGGCTGCTTTAAAAAATAAATGCAGTTCAAAGTTCTCTATAAGATATCTGCCGCTTGGAGAAAACAATTCCTTGGACATAACTTGTATGTCAGAAATTGTTTACTGTTTATATCCTAGTGATTTGGAAACCTAGCTAATCTAGCCATCTGAGTATTCAAGGAAGCCGTGAAACCCATGTGATAACTTGATTGCCATATAAGCTGTGAACAGCACAGATAGGAAGAAATCGAAATCACGTACCTCGTCTCTCACTACCCTATCTAGTGATGTGCCCTTTTAGTTATTGCACAGAATTAATACCCAAAACTTGCAATATATTAATTCTCCAACAGGTGAATTGTACCAATGTTTTACAAACATATGTTTAAGCCTATATTGCCAAACAGGAAGAATGTTCCAAACAGAAGAGATTAAAAACTAGAATTTTGCCCAAGAAAATCAATTGTGTTAAAATGCACCTCATAATCACACGTTCACACACACATACACCCCCAGCTCTATTATTAACGTTAAAATTGATCTAGAAAGATTTATCAGTTAAATGGTAACCTGTAACTCCAGAAATGAATAAAGGGAAATTTTAAAAATTAAATAGCATGTGTATTACTAACACCACCACCAGTTTACCTAGATGTGAAACATGCTCCTGTACAACAATGTAAACTTCACAGCAAGCCATTTTTACATTCATTAGAGCAGAATTTCCCATTTTCTTTAAATTACAACATAATTTTGGGCTGAGATTGCTGAACACACAGGTTAGCCAACAATAACAGTACAATTTAGTTTCACAGTGGTTTTCTTAACATAAAGTTCACTTTAAGTGTCTTTGCAAAGCTTTTCACATTAAACGTTAAGTTTCTAAGTGGCTTCCTTTGGAGCCTCCTTGTTCAAACCTTTTCCACCTCGTCTTTGTATGTTTGGCATGTCTGATTAGGTACAGAATGGGAAACTGGCTTGTCTTTTCTGTTGTTGGAATCCTCTGCTGCAGAAAGAAAATGTCCTTCATGAGATGTGGAAGCCTTCCCTGCACACACAGAATTTATGGCAAGTCCAGATTCAGGAGCCTGAGCAGCCCACCACCAAACAGAGACAAAAACATTGCCAAAAAGTCACCTTTGCAAGAAGAAAGAAAAAATAGAGGAGTGGGGGAGGGGGGAACCCCCATGGAATAAAAACACAAATGTACCATCCAAAGTCCATATTTACAAACTCACGGAAATATAAACATTGTCATATTTGGAACCAAATCAAAATACTGGGAGGGGCTAAATCCAGATATTGCTTGCGTTATACATATATTCCTCAACAAAACAGGTCATCTCTTAAAAAATAAACAAAGGATCACTCAAATCAACTATTGATTGGCTTCCTAGTGATGAATTAAGGCTTATTTGGTCACCTTATTTGATTACAGGGTGTAGCATGACTTTTTTCTATATGTATTTTCCTTTATTGATTTTGTGAAATCTCAACAATTGCACGTTTCAAGAGTTTAGGCTGATTTAGAATAAATATACACGTGTGGTTTTACCAAAGAATCATTAAAAAGTTCCTAAAGCCCTTTGAGGGGTGCAGGTTTCTTCACTACATTAAAACAGTGTGTGGGCAGCACAAATGTCTCATTCAGTCCTTAATATTGCTCTTGTTTTTGAATCCTAACATCATGTCAGGTTTTCTGTGAAAGAGAAGTTATGGCAAGAAATATTTAAGTGTCATCAGCACAAAGGAGGTGAGTCTGTAAAACCAGCTCTCCAGGCAGAAGAGAGGGAGGGGAGGAGGGTGAGGTCCGAGACTGGGGGAGATGGGGCGAGTGAGCTGAGGGGGGCCCTGGTGGAGCTGCTGCAGATGGAGCTTCCCCTCAGAGTGCGGAAGCTGTGACGGAGTGACTACCTTCTCTGGCTGCCTGCATGCCCTTGAATGCCAGCGACGCGGGAATGTCACAGTTGTGGGGGGAAAGTGGGGTGCCACTGGCATGTTGCCATCCGTGTCCAGCAACATAACCAGAAGGAGCAGCACTGTAGGTCATGTAAGGCGACACTTGGGCCGGGGTAGGATAAGGAGCCATGCTGGATGCTGACACAAAACTGCTCACAGCTGGGAGACCGTTTGGCGCCTAAGAAGAGTAGGAAAAGAGAAGAGGTGAAAATAACCGCATTACAGTAGTTGACATTTCCCAGGTTCTTAGAGAAGCAGCCTGTAAGCTATGAGTGGTAGTGGTTAACAATATTCTGATTCTACTTTCCGATTTTTTATTTTTTTTTTAGATTTGACCTTAAGCATATTCTAAAGGCATTCACAGTGTTGCTATTTAAACAAACATAAGGCCAAGAGACAAGATATTATTCTTTCCACAAAGGTTATGAGGAGGCTATGACCAGAAAATTCACAGTATTTGCTTTGCTATTCAGAATTATAGGAAGGCAGTGCTGGGTGAGGAAAGAATTAGTGGTGATTAAATACTCTTAGAATCTGTTCTGTTATCCATATGCCTTTGTCAACCTTCCCCGTACTTCGGTTTTGTTTGGCTCTTTTGTTGAGGCATTTATGAAGGGCCTGGTTGGTGTAGCTTTTGTTGCCAGAAAAAAAAAAAAAAGGGAGTGGGGGGGGTGCACAGAACTTGGGCTGTCAGTTTATAAACTCAAAATGAGCGCAACTTTTGCTAAATAAAACATGGACGGCATTTTAAAACATCATGTTGTGAATGCTTATTGGACAAAGGACATGTAAAATCAGTTAGTTTGTCGTTGAAGGGTTTTTAAAGGAAGATTGGGAGTGTTTTTTTCCAGAGCTATTTTATCAAAAAGGAAACTGGCTATCCAACCATAAAAGACCTGCATATGTGTGGTTTAGAAACTGGAAAATTTGCTTGCAAAGTTTCGAGGCCCGTGACGTGAATTTTTAAAAGCCACATGGAT